TCATCATTCACGATAAATCATCATTCACGATAAATCATCATTCACGATAAATCATCATTCACGATAAATCATCATTCACGATAAATCATCATTCATGATAAATCATCATTCATGATAAATCATCATTCATGATAAATCATCATTCATGATAAATCACAAATTCATCTACAATCGGACTTTTTTAGGTACATAAACTGATTAGGTTTAGTACGCTTCCCCCGGTGTGCTCACTTGTTGCAGCTAAGGTAAATTCATTCCATTCACTACACCAAACTGCCGTAGCGAAACGACAGGACACACTAGAGAAATGCATTAAATGGGGAGAATACCCAAGTAATGCGAGTGACAATCTCATTGGTAATAAAGTTATCATGCCTGTGTATTCTCTTAATACTCCCTGTATGGTCTATTTTGAGTTATTCCATAGTAATCATCACCTAAATTCCTTTCCTCCAAAGCCAATTGTCGGGTGATTATCTACTCCGAACACTGTCCCATACCAAAAACCTGCGCTCCTCCGCAACAGCCCGATCGTAATGCAAAATGATTATTTTCGAAAAAATAATTATCTCCATTACCGAAATATTTCCCCATGGTAATTACTGTGTGAATCGTAGCTGTTCCCTAGTAAGTGTCCTGCAATGTTACGCGTCGACTACGAATAATATCTATTAGGTTATAACTTACTAAGAGTCTCCTGCCCTTTAGAGCGATCAACAATTAATAAGCTACAACCTAGCGGATATAATTCGTATATGTCTGATTAATAACCACTACTCCTTAGCCGCCCTTACCAGGCTCTGCTAATTCATACCCGTTATTAACACGCATTCTCAATAACATATACAAAACTCCAGTCAGTAATAATAGTACGTTCTATCTTGATTTGAACGCCTCCCGTGGCCCAGAACAATTCGTCGATAGATCTATAACAAGTAGACTTGTATCATAAACAGTGTGCATAGAGGTATCCACAGAAATAGTTCTAATTCTTACTTCCGTAAAAATTAGACAAACACCAAGAATAAATACCGCTTTAAACAGCCCCCAAGGTTCGCAAGTAGCCACGTGCTTATGGTAGCTGCACAGAGTCCTTTCTCTATAGTCGTGCATAAATCTAACGAAATACGCACTCCTACGACAGTAAGCGTTACGTAAAAGTACTTTATTTTGCAATAAAACTCAACCACTACTTTTCTGTACTTCCAATAGGAGTTCCATAAAAACCCAAAGAAGGGATTTTGGAGTAATTTACATTCAGCGTTCAGATGATTCACAGTCACTGCAATTTTCATTGCGTATCGCATTTTGCTGCGGCCTTCATCGCTGTAGGAACCAAGACATCCATCGTTAAGATTGAGCCATTTTTCTCATAAAAAACCTGTGGGGATGCGCTTACAGCACGATAAAAATATACCTAAAAAGCACATAAATATTGCACTACTCCCGCATACCAACACATAAAATCTCTGAAAAAAATGGTAAGTAAACATTGTGCACATATATATAAAAAAACACGGTTAGAACATTATGTAAAAGTTAGATTTGATTCATTAATAATTATTGTAATGTTGAACAGAAAAAACGGCGACATACTTCCATACAATACAGGGTAGATTCTTCCATAAACATTCTGATACACCCTTATCAAATCAGTGGTTGAAAATAAGAGATTAAAAATCGGATATTAAAAAGGACCTACCCTTTTATTAATATTTCCAAACAATCACAACGTTTTTTTGTGTTCCATGAAAACTGATATCGAAGGTGCAGCGCAAATATTCGCCTCAAATACCGACGATACACACAACGAAACCAGATTCACTTTCTTACATAGTTTCTATTCCTTTCGGTTAACATAAATAATGATCCTTCCGCAGGTTCACCTACGGAAACCTTGTTACGACTTCTCCTTCCTTTAAAAGACAGGATTTACGATTTTTCCCGAAAAGTGGAAATATAATTTCCCTTTCTCGTGTCCAAACAATTCATCATATCTTTCAATCGGTAGGAGCGACGGGCGGTGTGTACAAAGGGCAGGGACGTAGTCAGCACAATCTGATGAATCATGCTTACTAGGCATTCCTCGTTCAAGATTAATAATTGCAATAATCTATCCCCATCACGATATGTACTGAAAAAGATTACCTACACTTTTCAGTGGAGGAAAAGTACGAATCTGCAGGCAGAAACGTAATTTTATAAAACTCGTTATACATATCAGTGTAGCACGCGTGCAGCCTAGTTCATCTAAGGACATCACAGACCTGTTGTTGCCTTAAACTTCCTTGTGTTAGACACACATCGTTCCTCTAAGAAGCTTTACAATCA